CACAAACACCCCCCTTTTTTTTTTTTTTTTTTTTAGGACACACATACAAACCACATACATCCATACCAACAAACCCACATAATTATAGCTGCATAATTTATCCAACTGGCTCTATAATACAGCAAAAGCAGAAAACAGGAAAAATGTGAGTATTTGCTTTAAAGGCCAAACCTGAGAAAATGGCACCATCTGGTAAATTTTTTTACAAATTTTAATTTTGAAGCCTTGCCAACAGAATGAAAGCCTATTAACAAAGACTGCATCATTTTATAGTTAAATGGCCCTGGGATTAAAAATTGCAGTTTTAATGGGTTTCAATGAGGACATCTTTGTCCTTAAGGTCCTGAGAGGAACTATTTTTTGTACCTAGTGTAAAATAGATTTATTAAAGGAAATGAGGGTGAAATATTAAAATTCCAATAAAAATACACACCTGTGCCAAAATGTATGCAGTTGGCATTAGCACAGGTAAAATGATCAAAAAACAAAACAAAAAAGGACAAAAATGTTCATAAGGTCGCACAAGGGTTAACAGAAACCAGGCTGTACACTGCGTAATTAATAAATTTATTTTTAATTTTATTATTATTTTGAAGTATTTTAAGTGCAATGTTAAGAAGTGCATTTTGGTATTTGTTTAAATCAACTTACTGATACTGAAGTACCAGGTTCACCTCTAGTTAAGGTTCAGGTTCTAGTTATACACTTACTGTAACACGGTTGTTGTTTTTTGCTTTTATTTCAGAGGAGGTTAGTTTGATATTGAGAGAAATTCCTGTTTTTTTTTTTTTGCTTCCTTTACATTCTGGAACAGACACAAGAGTGTCATTCCAGCACTTTCAAGTGGTTAACCACATGTGGTGTGAAAAAGACATTTGTGGCTATTATGATTTGTACAAGCAGGGTTTTACAAGAGGTACAGTGTGCAGAAGTGGACAGAGATTGAAACTATTGTTCTCTACGTATAATGATTTCTTCTTTCGTGTGTGTTTGTTCAGGGTTTTCCCTGGCAGTCATCCTTCCCACAACCACGTGGTTCCAGAGGACAAGCAGACACAGCGAGACCCCCTCCAGAAACTGCAGGTATTTATTAGATTCAACCTGCATGTCCTTTCTGGTCTCCTGCATCCTTCCTGCGTCACCAGGATTCATTTTGTTTTGCCAAGCAAATGTCAGTCTGACCCAGTGATATTTCAAGCATTCTGTCTGAATCAGTCAGCTTCCACTGGAGGCAGTTCAAATGATGACGACAATGAGAACCGAAATGAAATGGCAATACTTTTAAATTTCACAATGATTGTACAAGGCCTATGAAGTTTAGTTTCCTTTTGGGTCTGTCCGGTTATCTGTATCATCTACACTACACAGGCATAAAAATTTACGCAATTTGCTTTCTATTGTGCATAATTTATCAGTGTAAATTATTCTAAAGATGAAAATGTTTGTTGACGTAATCTTTCATCAAAGCATATAGTCATTTTCCACCTCTGAAAAATCATCTCTGATAAAGTGAGAAGGCTGCTTTCCATAGTGTTTTATAAACACACTACCACTATTTTGTTAGTGGTATCATAATTCAACTTTGACACTTTTGTCAAATACAGATGCATAAACTCAAATCATGTCCTTCATTATTTCCTGCTGAATATTCTTTGTTTGTTCAGCATTATGATGAATAGCAATATCATGACCTGGGTCAAAAATGAGTTTGGTGTTGTTTTGGTATCAGACATAATAGTTCAATAATAGTAAATGTTAATTTATTTCACTTAAATATTTACATTTCTGTACACTATTCATTTTAAAATGTAATTTATTCCTGTGATGGCAAAGATTAATTTTCTGCATCCATTACTCCAGGCTTCAGTGTCATGTGATCCTTCAGAAATAATTGTAATATGATGTTTTGGTGCTCTTTTGAAAGATGAAAATAACAGCATTAATGTGAAATAAAAATTGCTTGTGACAATGTAAAAAGTCTTCACTCTCACTTTTGATCAATTTAATGCAACCTTGTTGAAGTGTTACATACTTAAAAATCCACTCTTCTCTCTGCTATGCTATAAAGGCTAAAAAACGGAAGACATAAATCTAAAAAATGGCAATATTGTTTTACATTTATGTTCAAAACACCTCAATATTTTCTCTGAAAAAATTTCAATTTCTTTGTTGTTGGCAGAAATGGGAGCAACTGGATTTGGGAAAAGGGAGCGTCATATATACATTTATTATTTTAACTTTTTATGATTGTTAAAAGTTTAAATTATCTGCTTTATATAATTCTATGCAGGAATTGAAGTCAGTTATTTAATGGATAATATGATTGAACGTCATTTTTATAACAATCTACCTATAGAGTTAAATCTAGAGAGTTAAAACCACTTAATTAAATGATAGCTGCCTGAAAACATGACATTTAGTGTTTTGGTACTGATCGAGACTGACGAAGACATTTGTATGTGCAATTAGAGAAAATGTGTATTTAAAAATTGTAACTCTATAGGTGAATTGTCTTGAAAATGGCTAACAGTAGAATGTGACTGAACTGATTGATGATTCCTTCACTGGCAATGGTTGAGATAACGGGAGAGGTCACATACTGTTGAACGTCTGCGTGTGTCATTACTCTCTGACTGCTCATCTGCCCCACTGTTTATTGAAGCCATATATGACACCTGTTAACCTTTCCATCTATTAGATTACGTTCTGGGATTACTTAAGTAAGCGCTTCAATAGCTTGTTGATCCTTCAGATACTTATGAGTGTAATTGAAATGATAATCTATCGAGGAGGGCTTTCATCTGGGCGACAGAAGTATCACAGTAGTTTTGCTTAATATTTTTCAAGATTCAGTGTTCAAAAACATTATTCCCTATGTGCATATGGAAGTGATAAGTTATTTATATCTATTGTTTTGACAGCTGAGTGTGGTTTATTGTCTTAAGTGATGTTGTCTTTTGTGTATTGTTTTGTGTTTCCCTTTACATATTGTAGCTACTGGAAGACTGTAGGATGTAAGTTTGTGTGTTTGTGCATATGCACAGGAAGTGGGCCAGAATAAATAAGTTAATGCATCACATTAGTGCAGCCCACTTTGATTGGTCTCATTTTTGATTTAGGCTGAACATGAGGAGGAAATAACCAAATCACCAAATGGCTGATTACAATGGGTCCAGTGTTGCACTTAAAAACATTGTAATATGTTTGGAACAGGGTAAGAATCATATACTTTCTGTTTTTACGGTCATCTGCCATCATGAAGGCTGTTTTTCCGCATGTGTGCAGTGTCTCCAACCTTACTGACCAAACGCAAAAAGGTTTGTATGCTCACAAAATATTCCCAATGGCGAGCAACTCATTTGCTGTCAAATGGTGTGATATTTGTCATGTAAATGTACAAAATAAAACATAGGCAGGCATTTATTTTATGAATATGTGGTTGAATTTAATGAACAGAGCGAGTTGAAATGTCTTTGAGCTGGATTGCACTTGGAGATGTGTGCTTTATTTACTCGTCTCCATCAATTACTGGTTGGCAGTTTTGTGCTTTTTGGAATGACTCTTTTTCTCCAGTGGGTGAAAGCAGACCTCATGTGAAACTTTTGTAATTGATTAGTATAATAAATATATTCTAACTGTCTAAGCCTCCAAATGTTATTGTGTGAGAGTTAAACTACAAGTTGCATCACCATATCACCCTGACACGCAATAACCAGAAGAAAACATTTTGTTTCTTGCATTTTAGTCTTTATTTACTGAACGTCCACAGAGGCGGCAGCAAGTTCAAAGGATAGTTTAGGAGATGAGACATGATCGAAAAGCAACAGCAGAGCAGCCTGAATGCACTAAAGAGCTGCCCGCTGGCCCTCGACCTCAGGTCAGGCACCACAGAGTGTCTGTTTTCAAGCCTTCCCGTCATCAACATGCCAGTCTCCAAACCGACCCATTGACAGCCTCTAGAAGGAGCAGTCTGGGAATCCTTTTACTTCAATTTCATACTGTTCAAATTCTTGTAACAACAATTCACAAAGGTTTACATTTTTGAACTTTGCCACATGTAATCTTGCTTTTACAGGGTTTCTGCGGGTCTTTAAAAGTCTTACTTCGCTGTCCCACAAATTAAGGCCTTAAATCAGAGTAGAAAGTCTTAAATTCATTAAATAATGGCATTAAATGTTGCATGCACTTGAGAAAAAAAATATCATATTCTTAACTATTTTTGTCTTTTTCCCAATACAAATATCTGAACATCCTTAAATCAAGAAAACTTTTTTTGTTGTCTAAAACTTCAATCATGTTGATTTTTCTGAGCCAATCAATTTATCTTTTTGCTTTTCTATACATCCTGTTTTAAGACTCTTAAGACGTCTTTAGACATTTGCACGGGAAAACAGGAAATACCGAGGTTCCCTAGACATTAAGATTTAGAGAACATATTGACGTATTGCTTTTCCTTTAATTTATTCCTTACATTTTCTTTAACTGTTTTTAAAAGGGTCTTAAATCTCCCTTCATAAAACCTGCAGAAACCCTGTTTTGACTATTTGAACACATTTTATGCTGGAGAGAGAGATGAATGTGCAATTAAATCCACTGTTTTAACGTTAATCAGCCTTTTGAACAAGCTGACGGAAGTATTTCAAGATGTCTGCCCTAACTTCAGATACGTTCACTCTGGGAAACCACCTCATGACAGGTCTGCCGTCTGGACCCACCAGAAACTTCTCAAAGTTCCACTTGATGTCGTTGATTTTGAGAGGTTCCCAAAACAATCTGTTGGTGGGGTTACCGAAGCTGTCTCCCACAGGTGGGCAGGCATTCTGAAAGAGAAAGAGCCGCCTTCACTCTTTATTGGCATTGATGATTCCATGAAGAACCTTTAACATGCATGGAACATTTCCATTGCAGTTTACTTGACACAACAGATCTCAGATAGAGAAAAGTAAAAGCAAAATGTGACCACAAAATTTTTTCAAAATTGAGATTTATACATAATCTGAAAGCTGAATAAATAAGCTTTCCGTTGATGTATGGTTTGTTAGGATAGGACAAATTAGATTTTTTGAAATTTGATCGAGATACAACTTTTTGAAAATCTGGAATCTGAGTTATCCAAATGAAGTCCTTAGCTATGCATATTACTAATCAAAAATTAAGTTTTGATATATTTACGGTAGGAAATTTACAAAATGTCTTCATGGAACATGATCTTTACTTAATATCCTAATGATTTTTGGCATAAAATAAAAATCTATAATTTTGACCCATACAATGTATTTTTGGCTATTACTACAAATATACCCCAGCGACTTAAGACTGGTTTTGTGGTCCAGGGTCACATATAAGAATGGAATTAACATGGAATTGACATTTTAAAGTAGAAAGACTGAAGTATTATTTTCTTGTATAATGTACTTAAATAATCAGTATTTTTTTTTTTTACTTGCAACGTCAAAAAGTGAACATAAGTGCACTTCTCAAGCTAAGATAAAACAATAGCTATTCTGTTTTTTTGGTTTGATATAATTTTCTATTTTCTATTGTATTAATTGATTTCTATTATTTCAGTTTATTCTAATGGAATGACATGCTTATTGGGGCCTCTATGTAGCTTATTCCAAAATGGGTAAACAGGTTTAAAATTCATTTAAACTGACAATTTTTTTCTTCGTGAAATAGGCTTTTCTTGCAAAAGGTGTTGCAAGCAATTTCAGATTAAAAAAAGTGCTTTATTAAGCAATGACCAACCTTTAAAAATTTGAAAAGAGCGTGTTCATTGACTCCATTCACATCCACCTTCTCAAATAACTGGAAATTTGGAACAAATCCATTGCCTGGACGGACATACCTGTGAAGACAAGGAGAAATCTGTTTCGTCATGGGTCTGTCTATAAGGAAAACTAATAGAGACTTTAAAGAGTCATGGCCAGAGAAGTGGCTTCAGATATCACTCCAGAAAAGAGCATTTAGGTTCAAGATATATGATATGTGCAGTAATTTAAAGGGGATGATGGATGAGAAGACAAGCTAATTGCACACTGTCTGATGCTCAGGTAGTTTTGGTTCATGAGTGATGGCCAGTAATCTCAAGGTTAAAGAAACTTTCAGTCTTTTTTCCTTAAAGACCGTGTCTTCTGATTAATACTTGTTGAGTCATTTATCTTTTGGATGTCTTGCAGAATAAGTTTTTAAAACGGCACACTCTTGCATGTTTAATCCACTGTTTTTAGTATTATTCATATACTATATTTCTTAATATTTTAAGCTTTTATTTTTATATTTTCAGTTCTCATTTGAACTAAGTTTTAGTCATTTTGTTATGTGCTTTTGTCATTTTTATTATTTGTTATATATATTTCTATTGACCTTTTAATTTATTTCTAGTTTTAGTAATGAAAATTAATTACATCTTATTAAAAAACTATTTAATAGTAAACAATAACACTGGTTTCACCACCACAATTAAACGTCTCTATTTTCAAAGAGTAACATGAACTCACTTTAATGCAGAAAGAATTTCATTATTTTTTCCAGGCTCTTGCATCCCAAATTGGTTGCATGGAAACCCGAGGATAGTGAATCCAACATCTCGGAGCTCCTGTTGCAGTGCATTCAATTCTAAATAGCATATAAAACTCATAGTCAATACAATTATCATGAACAGGTTTCATATTTGCTCTTCAAGCTTTGTTGTCATTAGGTGTAAAATATATATTTGCACATATAAATTTGCAAACATAAGTAATGTTTGTATATACTAATATTTGTGTTAAGTGAAATAATGTGCACACTTACCCACATACTGGAAGGTGAGTCCTCAGTAGGTGGCCACATTGACAATGAGGACATGCCTTCCAGCATAATGGGAGAATGGCATGAACTGGGTCCCATTTAGGGTTTTCACACCATAGTTGTGTATAGTGTCACTTACAGCTGGGTTGCAGACCTGAGACAGACAAACGTAAAATCACGCTGGCTCTGTACCACAATTACAAAGAGGAAAAACATGAAAAATGAACATGAACATGAAAAAATACCATTCAAAATGTTTGGGTCGATAAGATATACTTAAAAAAAAAAAAAATTTCCAGCAAGGGCGCATAAAGTTGATCAGATGTTTACAATGTTACAAAATACTTTTATTTCAAATAAATTGTTCTTTAGAACTTTCTATTTCTCAAAGGATCCTGAAAAAATGTATCACGGTTTTCACAAAAATATTAAGCAGCATATTAGAATGTTTTCTGAAGAATCATATGACATTGAAGATTGGAATAATGAATAATAAAATATAAAACATATTAAAACAGAAAACAGTTATTTTAAATTGTAATAATATTTCACAATATTACCATTATTTTTCATCAAATACGCAGCCTTGGCAAGCATAAGAGACTTTTTTCAAAAACATTTCAAAAAAATTCTCCCAAACTTAAACTTTTGAACGGTACACTCTTAAAAATAAAGGTGCTTCACGATGCCATAGAAGAACCTTTTAGTCTAAATGGTTCCATAAAGAACCTTTAACATCTGAAGAACCTTTCTGTTTCACAAAAGGTTCTTTGTGGCGAAAGAAGGTTCTTCAGATTATAAAAAGGTAAGAAAGAGATGGTTCTTTAAAAAACCTATGACTGAATTGTTCTTTGTGGAACCAAAAATGGTTCTTCTATGGCATCGCTTGAAGAACCTTTTGAAGCACCTTTATTTTTAAGAGTGTAGTAAACATGAAATAAAATGATTATTTAAACATTGCAGTGACCTTTGTATTCTCACTCAAAACTGTGAAACCCCAGGCACACTCTTTATCATTGAACCAGCTTATTTTCAAGAAAACTGGATGTGACTAATATGCGAGTAAAAAAATGAACAAAACTGTAATATCATGTCATCGTAATTCTTATTATCATATAACAGTTCTGTTTCTCAGAATAGAAATGTTTTAGGGTTATATCACCTTGAAGCTGTAGTAGTTATAATACCCTGACCAGGTAAAGTAAATATTTACCTTTATTTGACTTTTGCTGTTTGGTATTTGAAGTGCTTAAAAACAAAAAAACGGTTACAAAACATTCTGTTATTTTACTATATATATAACCCTGGACTTAAGAACTGAACATGATTCTTATATTTTTTCCCTCCATTTATTTAATTATTTTCTGCCTCAGTTACTGTGGCAACCCACTGCACCTGCTACTGCATGGTGAAAACAGTGCGCACGATCAAATCACACTGATTTATGGGCTATAACCTCAACATCCTTACAGCATTGTGTTAAAAACATGCTTTAGTACAGAGATTATATGAGATCATTTGATATTTCATACCAATTTGTTCCAGTATTTACTTTTAAGCTTCAATGTAACACACAAATACTCGGATGTTGTTTACTCAGCCTATTGCTTTAATAACAAGCAATGCCGTTACTTTAAATAAATAAAAAATGTGCATTATTATCCTTATTCCTTTGTTCATTATTCCTGGTTTAAAGTTTTATCCAAATGAGCAATCCAGTATTACCAAAACCAAGACAAAAACTGTATAATAAGTATATGTCTTAACATCTTACCTGGGTATTGGATAGTCCACTAACTTTATGTAGAAGACCCACCAAGACCAGAGCAGAGATCCAGGGATTCTTCTGGTTCCCCATGAGGGTGACGTGTGGCCCCTGCAGGGTGTCTGTGTGTCGTCTGAATGAAGCGTGGCTGAGCTGGAGACGAAAAACACTGGAGGAGAGTGACGCAGACTAGCCAATAATATCCAGCCTCATCATCCCACATATTGACATATGAATACAGCCATGGCCTGTTTATTACAGCTCTAAGCTAAGAGTTTGTTGCAATCTAGTTCGCAATGAATGTATTTGTCATTTGATTAAAAGAATTATTGTAATGTGATGCTAAAAACCCACCAATATGTTGTTGGCTTGATAGTGGTGAAACAGTCGAGTTATTTTTGTCACTAGTCTTTCAACATCTGGTTTGCAACACTGATATTACAAAAAGTGCAGGAAGTCCTTTCACATGCATTCAAACAATTTGAGCAAGGGAATAACTGTAAACTCACTGCAAAAATTTAAATTTTAAAATTTTTACATTTTTTTACATTTACATTTAGTCATTTTGCAGACGCTTATCCAAAGCGACTTACAATTGGGGAATACATAAAGCGATTCTTCTTAAAGAGGCAAACAGACACAGGAAGTGCTTGTAATGCAAGTTTTAGGCATTGCTCAAATAAGTACAAGCTAGAAAGGCAAGGAATAAATAAAGAGAAAAGTTTTTTTTTATTTTTTTAATTTAGGATGAAGTCAAGTAGCGTTGAAAGAGATGAGTTTTCAGCTGTCGCTTCAAAGAATCAAAGAATGTTTAATACAATGTGTTACTTGCTGATTCTTAGTAATTGATTGTGAAATTTCTAGCAATGTCTGAGTTATTTTTTTTTTCCAGAATAGTCTTTGTTTAGAGTTTATTAAATGTATGTGCAACCTTTTCATATACATTTAATGACATTGTATAGAGAAGAAACCTAAAAAATATTAGGTGGGATCTTGGATTTTGAATGAATTTTTTGAAGCCACATTCAGCATATAAGAAGAACAACATTTTCACTTCCTAGGTGCCAAAATGATTCCTTTTCTCATACAACACAATGAAGAAAAATTACAATTTATTATTACTCGCCTTACTGTAAGTCCCTCTTCACAGACCCATAATTCTTAAAATTATATAAAGACCTCAGCAATGAAGTCCCAGTTTTGCATTTTATTCTGGCTTCCTATGTTTTTTTTTTAGTTTTTTTTTTAGTTTATTTAATCATTTTCCTTTTACTAGCTCACATGGCACTGCATTGCACCTGCACATACTGGTTGCTTTATATTCTATACAGCAGCAGGCAGCTTCGGATCAGCTCATGTTATGCTTCTGAGAGTATCAAAGGTTAAGCCTAAGTACAGTTGAGTGACAGCTTTCAGCTATTATGTATCTAAATTATGAAAGCTGTCAGAGTAGCAAAAACACCAGGTGCTGTTATCTTATGCAGCATTTTAAACTTGGTCTTATATATTTATTATATAGGCCTAATTGTTATTTTTACTAAGATATGATAGAAACAATGGTGCAAATGATACATAAGGGCTGTGCAAAATCAAGCACAGTAAGTGCAGAATAAATATTTTGGAAAAACTAGATATTAAACATTTCATTATGTTAAACATGAATAATCTAAGAGGTTGCAGTGCAGCTATGTCAACAGAAACAGATGCCTTCCTCCCTGTTTGATTCAACTATTATAGTGTTTGCGGAACAAATTACTTGGTTGGTTGGTGGATCTTTTGCACAACACTGACTTAACTTTATATTCTGTATAAGCAGTTTCTTCTAAGATGATTTTCCACAGAACATTTCTGTGGGTCCCAACACATGTTGGGATGATGGGTAATGAGATGGCGGATAGGCTGGCTAAAAGGGAGAACAGGTAAATTTAAATAAAGCAGAGGTTAAATTCATACTTTGGGAGAAAATCAATAAAAGTTGGCAAAAGAGGTGGGATAGAGAGGAGAAAGGGAGGCACTTATACCTGTTGGGGAAAGTTACTTTTTATGGAAAGTAATGTGTTACGTTACTTTTGCGTTACTTTTTAAATCTGGACAGGGCTTGCTTGTTTGTTTTTAAAATAAAAAAGTTATATTTTTGGCAAATATAAAAGCCTTTTCACACCAAAAGTGAAATGAATAAGCCTCAGGCTGAAGGGAAAGTAAATTTACGTCCGTACAGTAGAATGCAGAAGAAGACATTTCAACACACTTCAGCAATAAAAAGTCTAGAGTAATTTTTGCTTATTAGTACGGTTAAACTGGATCATCGAAGGTCAGAAGCAAAGACATTGGTTAATAGAATGGGATTAAATACATAAAGGATATTTGTATTGTTTAACATTTAATTATTGCAGGTTTGCGTCATATTCTGAGTTGCATTATTTTTATTCATTTTGAGGAATACTGAATCTGTTTTTTTTTTGTGAGTGAGATGAATATGAACATTAATTAAACTGGGGTGCAGGAGATCACATTAAAAGGGATACTAAACACAGTAAATAGGACACAGAGTAGAATATTGATTACATTTTTAAGGGAAGCAGGAGTATTCAACAGGATTTAATGGATAATTAAAGTATTATGTGTGTGGGTGTGTGTGTTTATGTGAGGGGACTAAGTGTCATGTAAGTGTAGGAAAGCTGATCCACACTCCGGAGCAGAAGGGGGCGGTAATGCACCAATAAGCTGGATGCCAACCGCCGTTAAACTGGAAAGAAGAAGAAGAATAACACGTATGATGACGCATACTCGTTACGTAGGCAGCAGGAACTCAGTCAGAAATGGCGACGTTGCTGCAGCCAGAGAAAGTGCTTTATCTCGTCCGAAGCGAGAAAAAGATTGGAGTTCCGCTCTCTCAGCTGTATTTTTGCCGATATTGCATTGAGCTGCGATCTCTGGAATGCGTGTCACATGAAGTAAGTAACGCGGGGTGTGACATTTAGTTGACACAATGGATGTTAGCCATGCTAAGAGCGAGCTAACAGGCTAGTGATGATGACAGTGTTGTTCCCGCCTATCAGTCGAAGTGGAACGAATTCTGGTTCTGTGATTGGCTAGTTTATCATTCTGTCATAAATTATACGGCAGTAGAGCTATCCAATTGGCTGTGTAACCAGTCAGTTAACTTCTGCACCACCCACTTTTTTTAGGGATGTGACAAGCTAAAAGCTAGCAGAATAATTCTGAATGAAATGAAATATCTGCTGTTCGTTCGTTTCCATTATGTGCATAGGTACATAAAAAAAAAACAATGAGGTTCTAAATTCAATGTGTTAACGCTTGCAGCAGCCATTCGTGTTATTTTGAAGGCAACACTACCACAACCTGTACAGACAGCTTGTGCTATTTTTATTATTGTTTATTTATTTATTTTTACTTAAGCAATGTGTGAGTTTTACCTCCGGCACAATGATGAAGTTCCATGTAGCTTTCTGTACTTTTCCAATACATGTTATACAATTTCCTTGAGCAAAAACACATTTGCTTTGTCTTATATATTTTTTTGGTGTTATGCCTGTTATATAGGTCGATTCCCATTTCTGTCCCAGCTGTCTGGAGAACATGCCGTCAGCTGAGGCCAAGCTCAAGAAGAATAGGTAAACCGCATCTGTGCTAAATATCTGACAAGCTTGTGAATTAATAACGGCAATAATCGCAATCATCTAACATCATCTGTACTTTGGCATTTATCATTAACTAATTACATGCATGCCATATTTATAAGTTTTGACTAGGGCTGCACGATAAATCGCATGCGATATTTAACGCGCATCTT